GGGCTCTCAGAATGTGGGTTCATGGCTCTCAGAGTGTGGGTTCATGGCTCTCAGAGTGTGGGTTCGTAGCTCTCAGAGTGTTGTCTCATGGCTCTCAGAGTGTGGGTTCAGGGCTCTCAGAGTGTGGGTTCAGGGCTCTCAGAGTGTGGGTTCAGGGCTCTCAGTCTATCTTCGTAGGAAAGATGAGTATAAATTTTTTAAGTTAGTAAGCGGAAGAGACAGAAATTTATCGCCCCATTGTGATGGATGACCTTTATGGAGCCACCACACCTTAGACTACTGAACTTCCTGCGTTCCATCCCTCAGTCAAGTTCAGACTCGCAGACCCACAGCAACACCCACGCTAATCACCAGTCCAACGCTCACACCCCCAACCCTCCCCCCAACACCCCCATGGATATAAGTCACTTTGACTATTTTTGAGTTATCCTGGGTAATTTACACACATGTTACTATGTATGATAATTTGTATAAATGTATTTAAGTGTACCTGTACCTAAATTAACTTACTTGCACACGTATACAATCAAAAGCAGTGGGAACTGACAGGTTTCACCACAGAATCTGCGAGAGGGAACAGAAGTGTTGTCCGGACCACTAGTTAAAATATATAGGGAGTCAATGTACATGGGTCAGTTGCCAGTGAATGGGAAGACAGTGAATGTGGTCCCTTTAAGAAAGGAGACAGATTGCAACAGTTAAACATCAGACCAGTGTTGTTGACATGCATCATTACGTTTCTCCATTACCTTACATTGTAAGGTAATGGAGAAAAGTAATCAGGAGAGGAGTGGTTGAGGGAAGTGCACAGGTGGTGGAGACAGACTCCATACATAGTTTTAAGACCAGGTACGATATGGCCCAAGAGGCTACGAGGATGTGAATCTGCCAAGTGGCAAATGAAGAGGCGGGCCAGGATTTGAAAATCGACCTACGCAACCACAAATAGGCGAGTGTACGTTGGGACACGCACACGCACGCGCACGCGCGTGCACTTAGCCATACAACTGCCGTCCTCAGAATAAAAATAATCTTAAATCTAAAATAAATATATTTATAAAAGAAAATCTATATCTTAAATCAAATATCTTTCAGTTGTAATGGATTATCTTTACTTGTACTATACGTGTTCTCCACTCGTTCAGTTTCATTCACGATTTTCTTAAAATATAATGCAAGGAAGACATTTGTAACATCGATACCATGCCTAACCCTTCTAGGGTAGGGTAGGTGCCTGAGCCCGAGCCTTTAGCTCATAAGACTGTCATTCCCATTTGCCCCCTTGGGGCGGGGATGGCAGACCAGAGAGGCCTAGCTTGTGGCTAGGCCTGGGGACAGTTGGTCCCAAAGATGAGGAGGTACTTGTGCCTCCTCCCATGGGAGACTTAGGTCTCAGACACTCCCTAAAGAGGGAGCCAAGGCCGGGCCACCACTTGGAAAAGGCCCGGGCCGGGAGAATACCGGCTAATCTTTAATAATAATAATAATAATGACATTTGTAAAATAACATTGAAATAGTTGGTTGACATAACATGAATCCGGCCATCACTTTCATCCGGTTCTCAACACGAATCAGACTTTCCGTGCATCCTGTCTTTGTCTGGGTGTTGCGAATGCAGTATCGTGTTGCAGCAATGTTTTCGTAAGAAAGTCTAAGTATTCACTTGACGTTGCAGAAGGTATTGCATAATTCCCTGCATTTCCATTAAGTTTGGGACTGATTGTCTGGGTCAGAGGTATCATGACTGACGAAATCGTAATAACACAATTGAAAACAAGCCACGGAACGGGTGGGGCTTTGAACCCGTTGTGAGTCATCAAACTCAAGCCAGTGCGTTAACCACTCGGCCTGTGCACAGTTTTATGACTCACTCGCCTTGGCTTTAAATCCCATCCGTTCCGTGGTTTGGTCAGAAGTTTGTGTTTTTTTAATCAGTAAAATCAAGCCATCATTACTGTAAAAAAATTTATATCCTCAATAAAGCGTTAAACCCGTGTGGATCCTCGGGGGTCATTGTAGGTAAATGGAGTCTTCTTTCTTCCTCTTCTTTGTTTTCTTCTTCTTCTTCTTCTTCTTTGTTTTCTTCTTCTTCTTCTTCTTTGTTTTCTTCTTCTTCTTCTTTGTTTTCTTCTTCTTCTTCTTTGTTTTCTTCTTCTTCTTCTTTGTTTTCTTCTTCTTCTTCTTCTTTGTTTTCTTCTTCTTCTTCTTCTTCTTCTTCTTCTTCTTCTTCTTCTTCTTCTTCTTCTTCTTCTTCTTCTTCTTCTTCTTCTCTAATTTCTTACGAGTTATAATGGATAACCTGAAAAATTTTGGATAATTTTATTCCGTAAGACTTGACAACTCTTTCTTTATTAATTATAAAGTCACTTATTTGTTTAAAGTAATGAAGATCACGATGGAGGTCAAATTGAAAGCAACTTTACAATACGTTCATACGTATTGCAAAGTTGCAATACGTATTTTGCCTGATAAACGGTTTTAAAAATCGACATGTTGAAA